ATGCTGACTCTCTGTAAACCGCTTAGAGAGGCCTGAAAGGCCTATGAAGCGGTATATAAGTCTACTGCTATTGCTATATAAGTCTACTGCTATTACTTTCCAACTCTTCCGTCCTTTTGTCACACCGCGTGGTGTTTCCTCCTTTCCAACTTCCCGACACTATTCCGATAGAGGGCAGTGTGTTGTGTTGTGTTGTGTTGTACTTATGCGTGTTTTAGAGAGAGCTGGAAGTAGGTATAGCATTATACTTAGGGTATCCTATGTCCCGCAATCCCAGTTCACCGTCCCAGCTGGCTTTCGGAGTGTGCGCGGGGGAGAGATGTCCCAGTGGGCGGGGAGATGGGTGTGGGCTCCCCAGCCGGGACGGGAACCTTCCCCGTCCCTCGTCCCGCGCCAGCCGTCTGGAAAGCCGACATGGGCAGGTGGAAAGTGGTGCTTTGCAGCTGGCTGGGCGTCGCGGCGCTCCTGGCGCTGTTCCTGCTGGGTTTCTTAGTGGGTAAGAAACGCGGGGTTTTTACTTCCACCGGGCGCTTATGGGGGGAAGCGGGAGGCGAGGACCGGGGCGGAGGGAGGGTCTGGATCGGAGCGCAGCTGCGCCGATCCAGGACGCGTCGCGCGCCGTACGGGACCTCCGACTTCGGCGTCAGCCTTCTTAGGATCGCCCGAGCTGGATTTCCACCGGCCCTTTCCCCGGCTGCTGACCCCCAAAGGGGGTGTCCAGCTTGGGGAAAGAATAGGATCGGGGTGTGATGGGTGTGTGTGCGCGTTGTGGTTTCTTGCAGAGACGCAGGTTTTTACACTTTTTACAGATTAACAGAGTTGGAAGGGACCGTGGAGGTCATCTAGTCCAACCCCCTGCCCCAGCAGTGGGCCATACACCTTTTTCTGACAAATGACAGTCCGGTCTCTTCTTGAAAGCTTCCAGGGACGAAGCTCCCACAACTTTTGCCACCTTCTGACAAGCAGAGTCAATGGGGAAGCCAGATGCACAGATAGATTAAAAGGGTTGGAAGGGATCTTGTAGGTCATCTAGTCCAACCCCCTGCCTCGCCCAAACAGGAGACCCTACACCATTTCTGACAGAGGGCAGTCCAGTCTCTTCTTGAAAGCTTCCAGGGATGAAGCTCCCACAACTTCTGAAAGTAACTTCTGTTCCATTGGTTGGTTGCTCTCACTGTCAGAAAATTTATCCTTATTTCTAAATTGAATCTCTCCTTGGTCAGTTTCCATCCATTATTCCTTGTCTGGCCTTCAGGTGCCTTGGAAAATATCTTGATCCCCTCCTCTCTGTGGCAGCCCCTCAAATATTGGGACACTGCCATTCCAAAAGTATGCCGCCGAGGAGCAGCAGAGCCGGGATCATTGCCACTCAGGTGGCCCCCACCGCCAACAGCTTGGGTGTCCCGGCTCCGTCCAAGCTGCTTGCCGTCACGCTCCACCGCCTTGCCCCCCTGCCTCCTCCGACAAACAATCCTGGTGCCCCGGCCTGCAGCCAGCCCAGCATCGAGCGGGGAGGATGAGGAGGAGGAGAAGAGCGGTGAGTCCTTGTGCCGGCCGGCCGGCCAGCACAAGAACTCACCACTCTCCTCCTCCTCCTCCCCTTCCTCCTCCTCCTCCCCGCTCAGTGCTGGGCTGGCTGCAGGCCGGGGCACCNCACCCAGCGGCATGGCCCCGCCCCTTTTTCTCCTCCATTTCGGGCAAATTTTTTACTGACTCCAGCATAAGCCGAGGCGGCTTTTTTCAGCCCAAAAAGTGGGCTGAAAAACTAGGCTTATACTCGAGTATATACAGTACATCACTCATTGGTTACGTGGGCCAAGAAGAATTCTGAATGGCAATAATAAATACATCTTTAAATATATTCATTGTTAATTTTTGCTCTACAGTCAACAGACTTTGGGAAGCTTAATCTGTAGAGTACCACACCAAATATTGCCAGGTCCAAATATTCAAGCTTTTTTTTTAATTTGGGGAAAGAGCTTGGGTGATTTAAGCAGCAAAGTGAATGTCTTAACCCACGTATCCCTGAAAGCTTTTGAATAATTGGGTTGAATCTTCCTACATAATGATGATGGAGCAGAATGGCCTAACTTAAAAGTTCCCATTAGCTTTTGAAAACAACCCCCCCCCCCAAAAAAAAAACATGTTTAGAAATCTGGAAATTTGCACCTGTCTACCCCAACCAAGTTACATCACATTTATGGTCCTTGGAGACCCCCCCAAATTAAAAATGCAATTCTTGGTTGCAAGAGAATGGCCCAGTTATAAAGGGGGAAAGGGCCACCTTTGCAAAGCTGGAGGGGCAGAAGGGGGAAGCTACTCACCTTTTCTTAGTGAGCAGAAGAGCCCTGCAGGACTTGCCATCCCAGGTACAGTAAGGATCTCTGGCAAGGCAGCAGTCGGCACACGTTTTGCCATAGAGTTCACAGCGATACATGGAGAGCTGCACCAGCCCTTTGGTAGTGCTCACAACCAGTTCCTGCTACTCAAAAGGACAGAGGAGAAATACTGCCATGCAACTTTTTTGTGACACCCTGGAGTCTGCAGCCTCCCTTCCCCACAAATTCTGCACAAAAATAGGAGTGGTGGGGCAGCAGGGAAGGGAGATAGAGAAGATGCTTTACCTAAGTTTCTTTTTGTACATATTAAAATGATCTTTTAATATTGGACTTCATTGAATGGAGATAAAGTTATATTTAGTATATACCTCATGCAAATATAGTTACATGGATTACTCTTTGGTGATGCATACAATCATTTCTCTTTCTGACATGTTAAAATGGTTACTTAGAACTCTCTGGCAGGACTCTGGAGGCTGCTCTCAAGGTTTGGGGTTATGGGAAGATACCCTTAGGGACTCAGCTGTGCCCCTTTGCCCTGGAGAAAATAACATGCAATTAGTATAACAAATGCTGCCTTACCCGCTTTAGAGAAAATCTCATGTCTAAGATAGCTGAAGGCACCTACAAGAAAGAGAAAACAGCAGCAGTTTGAAATGATACTCCAACTTCCATGTTGTATTGGATGCCAGCATCCCTGAGTTCTGTGCAAACTTTAGACTGGCACCTGCTTCACACATGCTTCACAATCATGCTGACAACCAGAGGGTGGCAAAGAGTTAAGGTTTTCTAGACTTCTCTGCAGCCATTTAGTGGTTATCTGGATTTTTGTAGGGCTATAAATTATTATTTTTTCCTCCTGGAAACTTTTTGCAACCAAGAGCCAAGGTGGCGCAGTGGTTAAATGCAGCACTGCAGGCTACTGCTAGATCAGCAGGTCAGCAGTTCAAATCTCACCGGCTCAGGGTT